GGGGGGGGGGGGGCCTTATGGCTTCTTAGTTCGTAATTTAAATTTGCTTTTTCGGGGTTAAAAATTATTATTGTCGCGCGCTCGTTTATTAAGCATAAAAAGCGACGCGTGTCGTCGCAACAAGGGGCTTAAAAATAATTGCGCGGATTTAGATAGTTATCTGGATTAAAAAGTAAAAAAAGGAAAGCGGAATTAATAACCCTTAACTCGCGTTATTATTTATTCTCCTTTGAATTTATGGTAAATAAAATGGAAGCTATTAAAGAAACCGGGTAGTTTCATCTTAAGCTAATCTCGTACTTCTGTCCGAAGTATTTTATGGTCCATCCCCTTCTTAGGTTCATTTCCGGGCAACCCCCATTCGTTCCGATTCCTTCGACCGCGGGCACACCCTGTAGATGTCCCTGTCCGTAACAGCCGCCTATGAATAATACCAACTCCGATAAGGTATCCTCATAAATTCCTTTTTATTGGCAATCAATTATATCGGTTATTTTGCGTATAACTTTGAGGTTACGGGCGTTCTAGTCTGAATCTGAAAGGTTTATTGTACAAAACTTGCATAAAAGAGATTATACTAAGGGATAGCTATAGAACATATTCTCCCGCTTCGCCCTGCTTATTCTTCCATTTTATACATTGATATATCGAGCGGACAGACGATCTTTGTAAAAAGTTTCGGTGTATTTTAAATTCTTTAATATATCGCTCGCTTGAAATCGATAATTTATGAGACAGATGAGAGGGAGCGAAAGTTTTTAAATGCCACATATGAAGTCTGTTCAACTGTAAAGATGATTGATTCGTTTGAAGACCTATATTTAGATGACACTAATCTGTACGATGATTACATATATTTGGACAAGTTGACTCTTCGACAATAAAAACAGGATTTCAATATTACATAAATGAATTTGTGCTTGTTTGAATATAATCCAATGGTCAATATTAAACTGGATCTTGAAAATACGATGAGAAATTTACGGTGGCTGCTTATTTCTTTGATAAAAGATGTGCGTTAATTAATTTTCGCCTGATCAAACTTATCACAAACGACCAGATGTCTCTTACTCCTAAGATTTTATCTAACTCGAACAAATTATAATATAAACAAGAAATAACAAAAATGGACACTAAAATAACAAATTCAAGTAAAATAAACCTGAAAAATCTACTGACAAAACTTCTCCTTGGAACTTTTAGAAATGTATATA